AACATGTTTGGCAAGCGGCAAGCGATGGACATAAAGGCGGTGAGCATAAAAGCGGCGGACATAAAGGGTCCGAAAATCCTGGAATTCGTGTTATACACGGGGGATTGGAATATTGTTTTTGTTCAGTTTACTTCAGCATTCCGACAGTGACATTTGCGTTTTTCAATATTTGTGCATTATTTGTATGAGCAAAAGTTATAATGCCGAGAAGTAATTATCGAACTGGTAATAAATACCGCAGAAGACAATCTGTCAAAATATACCTCGCAATGATGAATGTTGGCAAAATAAAATGTAATCGAAATAGTGGATAGTAGATTCGAAAGGAATCGAAAGGAATATGGAGATTACAAATTGAAGTTGTTCCTGTAATATATACAGGGTGTCTCATGTTTAGCTCGTCTAACGTTGACTATCGAGAGCAAAAATTGAAATATTATACACGTATTTATTTGTTTTGTCGTGGAGACACTTGTTTTCTTTATACGGTGTGTTCGAGGTCGCATGAATTTTTGGTTTTTATTTTTTATTTTTGTTGAAACCAAACCTAGAGATTTGACATTCGGTAAGCACTTTTCTATCTGTTATATATGAACTGTCCCTATCCTTCTTAGTTCCCTTGTTATTCGAAATAATGTTACACCTACATATGCATATATAACAATTTTATAACCTAAATGTTTATCTTACATCAAATTATCATTCGAATTGAATATTGAATGGTTCACGTACACGAAAGATATTGAAACAAATGAAAAACACAAAGTGTGGTGAAGAAATAATAATGATTTTTCATTAGCTTCGATCCACCCACTATCGTCCCAATAAAAAAAAATCTGACGAGTTCCATGTCAGAGGGCTCGAAAAAGAATAACATCGTTACTCCCATTGGGGGTGACGATAACACCCAGTTTTTTCAATGGATAAGGACTGTTCATATTGCCGATAGAAAAGTGCTCACCGAATTTCAGATCGCTAGGTTTTGTTTCAACTGAGACAGAAATTAAAAACCAAAAATGTATGCGATCCTTAACACCCCGTATAATTAAAACATGTTTCTCCATGACAAAACAGAAAAATACGTATCTAATATTTTGAATTTTGCTATCGATTGTCAAAGTTAGACAAGTAAAACCTGAGACACCCTGTATATGGCGTTGTTTATTACACAATATAAATTCTGCATATACAAACCAAAAAATTCCACTCATGTAATAGTTATTTTTCTTCCCCTGTAACAATGCATTTTGATATTCCATTTGCATTTGTCGTCAATCAATAAATTTAATCATGTATAGGTGAGTGCAAGTTATTCGAATAGCAGTATTTTTCTGTAAAAAATTCCCTATCTTGAACTGTTTTTGCTGCCTTTCTATTATTCAGATTCGTACTTTCGAATTATATTTTTGCAGTTGAGTTGATACATACCACTAATTTATGCTCATATAGGGTATACCGGGTATATTTCTTTGAAAACTTCTCACCCCTACAATGTCATTTAACATTTTTGAGGGGCTGGCGGCTGGCATCAGTGAAGGCAAAGGGGATGAAACGAGCAAGGTGATTTTTACGTGAAAACATGTCCTCCTCATAGTTATTAGTGTAGCGGGACACAAGGTGAAAGTAATCAAAAAAAATTTTGGAAGTAGAAAGATATCAGACCCTCACTATCCTATCTAGAAACAATTGACTACTTTTTTCCATGGTACCGAAAAAAGTTATAAACGAACAAACTCAAAAATTACAAAAAAAAATCTACTTCGCGTGTAAATGTATAAACCTTTGTAACTTGGAGACTACATAACTTAGATGCCTCAACTTATCATCATTTTGTTGAGGATATGATGGAGATTCGATCGGATTCGATCCATGGTATATAAACTCGCAAAATTGAGTTTTTTATATGTGAAAATAAATTTTTTGTCACGCATCACATGAGTAATTTAGCATTAACACCTCTTCAATTGATAATAACTTTCTTTGTCACGATATGAATTTCAATTCTTTTCTCCCATCTAGATAGATTGAAGTGTAATGAACAATTTGTTTCGAATAAACTTTTCGCACGTTTCAAAAATAAACTTTTTATAGCGCTTTGAGTGATAACGTACAACTTTAGATAGGTCATGCACAGTGAGTGAGACAGAGTGCGATAGATACTGGTGCATGAGTGCGGAACGAAGATGAAATAATATCAAGAGCTCCATCCACAGATATGATGAATATAATAGATTTATATCGATGAATTTACATATTTGCTCGCTAAGAATGTCAATTTTAATATAAAACATTGAATCTAACTAAAATTTATCACACATTCCTCTCAAAGACTCTGAAAAAGTTTTTTATCATAAATATACCATATTGGTATACTATAGTTTTTCCTGCTGTATAATGTTGATCAATTTTTCTGGGGACTCATGTTTGGAAAATTCTAGCATCTCCCAATAGGTATCTTCTTGGTATTTTTTCTTTACCATTTTCACTTCGTTGTCTTTGAAGTGAATTATTTTGGGACCATATTCATGAACTGAAGTTATTTACCTACATATTCAACCAAGAACGCTCCTTTCTCCATTCCCAAATGAGACAGTTATTCTACCCGAATCTTTACTGTTTGCTCTTGTCTAGAGCACGTAAACGCCGCTGTATCATTCGTGCGCTCGGATGGCCTCTTACGCATTAGACAATAAATGCTTCTGCAAAGTTCATTTTTGAAACGTGCGAAAAGTTTATATGAAACAATTTGTTGCTTACATTTCAATCTATCGAAAGATATCATAAAAATCGAAATTCATATCGTGAACTAAAAAGTTATGATGAACTGAAGAGATGACAATGGAAATTTTTTCGCGAATTCTGTACAAAATGATACATTTTGGATCGAAAAATAATTCAATTTCCCAACATATTATATATGAATCGAATCTCCAGAATATGCTTGATCAAATTATGAAAAGACTACGTATATAAGTGTTATAATTGCGAAGTTACAAAGGTTTATATATTTACGCGCAAAGTTATTTTTTTCTTAAATTTTCGAGTTTGGTCGCCTATAACTTTTTTCGGTACCATAGAAAAAAATAGTCAAGCTGGAATATTATGTAATAATCATATACATTCGAGGTGGTGAAGGTCCTATATCTTTCTACTCCGAAAAAAAAAAGTCTGTAAGGAAGAGGACTGTGCCTCGTTCTCCTCCACACTAGATGTATATTGCCTAAAGCACAACTTGTACGCTGTGCCTGTGGGTATTCGGAGAATTCAGCGACCGCAGATGCATAGGGGTAACACTCAAGGCCGCTTTTACTATAAATGTTGAAATATTTTACGCTAGAATGAGTTGGAGTGAGACACTAGACGACTTCCTTCGTTATCGGGCCCCGCCTCCTTCGGACAGGATTTTTACTTCCCCCTTTACACCTTAGATAAAGTTTGACCTTTTTCAGAGGGTAAACCCCTCCTTAAGAAGGGAGGAGTTATGTTCCTGAACCCGGACCTGTCCATGGAGACAATGCGATGGCATCCAGAATGCAGAGTCTGCTTCCTACCGGACTTTATCGCTGAATATTTTTATACCGTGAATTATTTTCTAAATCATTATATAAAAATGAAATATGTATTCTATTGAACATTCCATTTTTGTCACTTGTAGCCTGCATTTTCAACTTAATTAAAAAAACGCATCGAGAAAAGACAATCTTTTATTGTGTGTTGAGTGAATGTTGAGAAAGAGTTAATCAATACAAAATTGGTTTCAAAACTACGAAGGTGCTTCTAAGAACCACAACTGCTAGGGGCACAAACGTAACTATCCTCTTGGGACGGTCCTAGAACTGTCCGAAACCAGTGCCTGCTCTCGAGCATGAACGTTACCATCGAGACTATATGTGGGTAACGGCATGAACCGTCCAAGGATTATTTTTGGCGCATGCTCATTTCATTTAGTGTTTGATTATGTCTGTGTTGTAGCATAACGTTATAATGATATATTTTTGTTTATTCAACTGTTTATTGCTCTTATCACTATTTTTTTAAAATTATGGAGTTAGTACATTCATGTGATAGTAGTTGTTCTTCATCTTCAGGAAGCAGTGGTGAAGAAGTTCCTTGCTGAAGTTGCTGAAAATATTGTGCCTAATCTGATAATCCTATAACTTTTGTTAGATAATCCAGAAAATGGAGAATATATGCTAGGTTGCCATTATATTCAGATACACAATGCATTGAACATTTCAGGTGGGTATCGAAATTCATGTAGGTACAAGGGACAAAACATATTGAGAATCTAGCTACGAATGCTATGATGGAATATATTCACCACTGAATATGGACTCAAAGGAGAGTTTGAAGCTTCAGAATATTATTCGAATAAAAATACAGATTCCAAACTATTTTTTCTTTCGCAAATTCTGAATAGAGGTTATGTTCTCAGAGTTTCTCTTCTGCCGCGTTCGGGTTTTCATAATGTGTGAACCGTTCGAGAACGATTCTTGAACAGTTCTGAAATCGCAACCCGACCTTAAAAGACATTCTTTGCTGCCGTTTTGTGCTATGCATGTATCTACCGTACAATTTTTCTTGTTATTTTCATCACATTTTTTCTATGTTTTCTCTTCGAAATATTAGTTTGAAATAGTATAGTTTTTGGTTTAGTTATCAGTTCACACCAAGGCCGTGTTGGTTGATGTATCGTGATACTAAATACCACCTTTGAGTAGGTACCTATGTCACGAATCTGGAGCTTAGGCTGATTTAACACATGACTTTATAACGAAAGAACCTGGATCCAATTGAAACTTCTAGTGTTATCTCCTGAACAAGAACCAGATGTTTATGCTGTTTTGCAGAATATCGCCAAGAAATGCGCGTGAGGAATAACTTGTGTCAACAATTTCAGATAGACAATATCGAGGACAAAATTGTAGCTCAGGTCATTCGAACACTGGCAAGCTCAATCCAGTTTATTTTCTGAAAAGTAACAACATTTTCATACTCACATGAGTCGGTATCCACTTCGACAAAGACGGTATAAGTCAAGAAGAAGAAAGTTATCACCGATAACGTGCCCAAAAATCTCTTCCTTATGTTGATTTTGTGTCCATACATTGAACTCAAAATGTTGGTAACGATGTTGGGTAGTGATTGTACAACGGAGCTTGAAGATAAAAAATTCCTTTGTAGCGTAGTCCTGTTCCTAGGATCATATGTGTCTTTACTCAGATCTCTGAATTTGTACATCCAATACTGTAACAGAAGAAACGCTCACAGTTATTCACGCAAGCAACTCAGTTCACATTATAGACGGACCGAAGTTCAGGGTATTTTCTAGATCTCTTCCGAAGAACAAATTAGATAAAAACAAGTTGAGTACGATTACATCGCTGAGAAGAGATTTACCTACCAATGAAAAGATAGAACATGATACAGAATATTTGCGATTCCAGTTCGAGTCTGACAGCTACGCTGAACGGAGGTGCTCTACGACTATCGAATACCTTTCTTCGAAAAACGTTATCGCTATTAGTGTTTTTTTTGTGGAGTGTTGATATCAAAACCTAAACATAGTGTCCACGAAACTATAAAAAATGAGTGGAAACCCGCCGCCGGGAGGCGGGGGACCAAGTGAAAGTGCAAATTTAATTACAAGTGTATCGAGTAATAACAATATTGGCATTTACGATTTGACCCATGATGAAGAGTTCAATCACAATGAGGACCAAGCGGCAAACGGCAACATGAAATCTGCAGGAAAAGGAAAAGAGGGACCATCGAATCCAAACCGTGACGGCAACCGCTCTACTCAGATGGAGGTCGACGACAGAACAAACAAAAACATAACACCTAGGTTTTTCAACCTAGACAAAGTTGATCAATACGATAAGGGTAACATCTATATTTATATAGAAAAAAATAATGAGGAAAATATCGGTAAGTTACATCCAATGTCCGTAGGACATATTTTACACAAAAAACTGAATGTAAAAGACATCATTCAAATCAGTAAAGCTGGCAATAATAGAGTGAAAGTCCCACTAAAATCAATTACGGAGGCAAACAATTTGATGAATAACAAATTACTAGAGAAAGAGAATCTAAAAGCATTTATACCTAATCACCTTTAAGTTAGAAAAGGTTTGATATTTGGAATGGATACAGTCTTTGATGAAAAATATATTATGGATAACATCACTTCAGATGCAAATATATGTATTAGAAGTTAGTAGAATGAAACGGCGAGTCATGGTAGATGGGCAATCTACCTTGGTTCCCAGACAAATAGTTATACTCACTTTCGAAGGAACCATATTACCAAAAGCTATCAGCATCAACAGTGTGTATTTTGAAATTGAACCATACGTCTCTAGAGTAGTTCAGTGTTTTAAATGTTTACGTTACGGACATGTATCAAAACAATGCCGTAGCAAAAATACGCTCTGTCAAAACTGCGCCCAACAAAAAGAGGAGAACCATAATTGTGATCAGGATAAAGCTCACTGCCTATATTGCGAAACAAATGATCACAACACATTGTCTAACAAATGTCCCCATTTAGAAAAACAAAAATCAATTAAAAAATACATGGCCCAAACAAACTCAACATTCACTGACGCAAAAAGAGTCATAGAAAATTCTTATGCTAATATTACCACTTCTAATAGATTCGACTTGTTATCTAACTTCAACTTCAACTTTCCGTCGTTACCTTCAACGAGTAATCATACTAATAACAATAATGTAACTTGAAAACCCATTGGACCAATGCCTTTTCCTACTCAAACACTTTCACAACCTACAAAGAAAAGGAAAGTCCACATGACTTCTCCCCAACCACCTACTGTCCCCCCTATGTTCCCCTTTCAATTTGGCCCATCACAGCCTGTACCCCATAATAAAACAGTCCCAAGTCGCAGCCAAGAGGAAGTAGTTAGCAACGTCATGGACTTAATTTTGAATATTCTTTCGGGCATCCATAACTTAGAGGATATAAAGAATTTGAATGATAGTGCTATTAAAAATGAAATCATAAAGGTGCTTGATGAAGCACATATTTTCGAAGTGAATTCACTCCCATAGTAAACAAAATTAAAATTCTGCAGTGAAACGCACGTTCCGCTGTATCGAATAAATATAGTTCGCAAAAATATATAAATGAACAAGATTTAGATCTTGTCATACTAAGCGAGACATGGTTCAAACCAGATAATAGCTATACTTTCTCTGGTTTCAATCTGATCAGAAATGATAGATATGATGGTAAGGGAGGAACTGCTTTATTGATCAAGAAAAAATACAAATTTCAAGAAATAATAATTAATGATATAAATCCTGAAATATCATGTTGTGGCGCAATGGTTAAGTTCACAGAGAAATTCCAACCAGATATCTTATCATTATATCGAGGTCCGACTATAAGAACATCTAATAATGATTGGTTGAACATCTTCCGCAAGGCAAAAAACCCTTGTCTAATTTGTGGTGACTTCAATGCACACAATGGAACTTGGGGACCCAATAGAAATGACAACGTCAGTCAACAAATTCTGCATGCAGTAGATGAATGTGAACTGGTGATACTTAATAATGGGGAAAGAACAAGACTCTCAAAACCCAATGAACAAAAATCTGCTGTGGACTCTGTGCTCAGTGGCCATTGCACCTTCCATCACCTGGTCTATTTCACAAGATACCTTAGGCTCAGATCATTTTCCTATTATTATTGATATCCAATGTGAGTCTACCTATAATGATATTATAAACCCAAAAAATAAATGGGATACAAAACGTGCTGATTGGAAAAAATATCAAACATACTGCTCAGAACTCTTTTCAGTGTATCAAACACATGAGAATATAGATCAAAAGTACTCATGGTTTATAGATAAAATGAATCTGGCGGCGGAAGCAACAATACTTTTCAAAAAAACCTTTCAGAATTAAAAAAAAAACCTCCTCCACCCTGGTGGGATTTGGAATGTGACACAGCAGTGAAAAATAGAAAACAAACGTCAAATTCTTATAAAACATCCAGCTCTTGGGATAACTATATACTATACCAAAAAACTCAAGCAGAAGCTAGAAAATTATTCAAAACTAAAGCGAAAAACCATTGGAAGAACTGGGTATCTGAACTCAATAAAAACACCACAAGCCAACAATTATGGAGACAAGCAAAAATTATCCAGAGAATTAAAGTCGATAATAAAAAATCCATTCACGATGAGTTTCAGGAATAATTTCTCTGCAGTATTTCTCCATCATATGTTTCAAAAATGACGATTCCCACCCCCGAAAGCGGAAATTCATCCCTTTTTTTATGCCAACCCTTTACACTTAGAGAACTTGACCTAGCTATCAAGAAGTCCTCAGATACTTCACCAGGTTTCGATGACATTACATACTCTATGATATTACATCTATCAATTGAAGCGAAAGTCTTCCTCTTGAGTATTTTCAATGACATTTGGGTAAGAAATGCAGACCTACAGACTTGGAAAGTTGTCAATGTTCTACCCATTCCCAAAAGGGATAAAGATCCGAATTTAGCCTCATCCTACCGTCCAATCTCCCTGTTTTCATGCATTTTCAAAACTTTCGAAAGAATGATCAAAATAAGATTGGAATGGCATCTTAAGATGCTCAACATACAACCTCCTAAAAAATTTGGATTTAAAACAGGATACAGTATGGTACCTTGGATGCTGTCGCAACATTGGTGACGGACATACAGGGCTCATTGACGAAAAATAATTATTTGGGAACAGTCTTTCTGGATATCAAAGGAGCATACGACTCAGTGGATTTAGAAATTCTGAAGGACAAGTTAATTAATCTGCAAATCCCTCCATATACTGCACACATTTTGACCAATCTCTATTCAGGCCGATATATCTGGCTGAAAACATCCTCTAATAACAGAATTGGCCCTCGTTTGTTATCTTATGGCCTCCCACAGGGAGCTGTCCTCAGCCCAATCCTTTTCAATATTTTCACGTTGGATATTCATAATATAATATCGCAGGCCACAGTCATCCAATACGCCGACGATTTTTGTTTATACACTGACAAAAAGAAATATGAAACATGCAAAACATCTCTAGATACAGCAGTGCTGCAGTTTAGTAACTGGGTTGACAAGAATGGTTTTACAATATCTGAGAACAAATCTGTATGTACAATTTTCACAAGACATAATTTAAACTACTCTGACACAATTACACTAGGTAACTTCAATATTCCATTTAAGAAACAGGCATCCTATCTTGGTATTATATTGGACAAAAAATTAACATGGACACCCTTTATTGAGAAAATAGAAACGAAATGCATCAGAGGGTTAAATTTCCTACGAACCACAACACGTGTTTGGTGGGGAGCGGATCCTAAAATAAGCCTACTTTTTTACAAAGCATATATTAGATCCATATTAGATTATGGATGTATAATGTATGGATCAGCTTCTGATACCCTACTCGGTAAATTAGATAGGATACAAAATAAAGCACTGCGAATATGTATTGGAGCAATGCAGTCTACACCAATCGAGCCATTACGGATTGAAGCATTAGAACCCCCACTCTCTCTTAGGCGAGAGTTTCTGGCTGAAAAGTTCTTATTGAAGGCATATAGTAAGCATGCGCCTTTTCTGAATAGATTAGGAGAACTAGCTACTCTCGATCTTGTTGAAAAGTATTGGCTTCATAAAAAAGCCCACCCCTATGTAATGCCTTTCGAGAAACTTACAAATTTCAAGAGTCTATGTCAGATATATATAGACAATACCCAGAACATGACTTCTTCGACCTTGCGAGCAATAATCAAGTCATAATTCCGAAGTACTCTGAAAATGCGAACATCAACAAAATTTTTCTTAAAACACTACAGGATGATTATCGAGAGAGTATCTCAATTTACACTGATGCATCTAAAATGGAAAAAGGTGTGGTGTTATAGTCCCTGCATAGTCAACTTAATATTATTCATTCTTATGGTTTTTGGTTTCTGGGATTCCGATTCCGACCACCGAGCAAGACAGACGGTTAAAAAACATGGAGAAGTTGCGAGCCGTTTGTGCTTGGCCGACCAAGTAAAAATGTATTTGGTGTTCTTTCTTATTTCCCGGTGATTACCTATATCAGCATATTATTATTATTCAACCAAATAAAATATTGCTAATGATACATCTACACACCTCACAAACAATCCAATTTTTATACGAATACACTTCAAAAAGATCTAAACTAAATTCAACACAACAACAGAACCCACGAATATAACATCCCAGGTAACAAGCTGACGTCATTTGTACGTCATTATCACGTCAGGCCTGACGTCAGGATGACTTCCAAAATGACGTCATAATGACGTTTATATGACCTTCTAAGTCAAAGACGAATGACGTCATTTTCATGTCGTCAAAATGACGTCATCCTAATGACGTCAAAATGACGACATCCTAATGGCGTCAAAATGACGTGATCTTTACGATTATTTATATCACTGAAATCTTCTGCATGTTTCAGTTCATTTTGTGCTAGTCTTGTGTAGTTCGCGAACGAACTAGTTCGAAAGAGCGCTCCCCGAGGTAAACTACGCGAACTAGTTCGTTGTCAATCTGGGTTTCAGTTCGTTAGTTCACTGAAAAATGCAGCAAACGTTGACCGACCAGACCGACCGATCATCTCTCTGTCACTGTCACTGCCGAGCGTGCGAGCGTCGAGCGAGAGGACCGAGACTTGCATCAAATGAACAAGCGATTCAGCGATTGGGATCGTGTAATGCGAACCGCTCAACTTCCCGGCCGGTCACTTTTGTCATTTCACAGCGTTCGCAGTTCGTAGTTCGTAGTAGAATCGTTCTGCGACTGCGATGCGATCCATGCTCTCGCGTAAACAGGTAAAAGACTGACAGGAGGTCACATCACATAGATAGCAACAAAACATCAAGCAGAGTGTATTGAGCTCGTCGCGCGCTTTTGTTTGAAATTCAATCTAAGTTTGAACAATTTGGTTTTGCAACGTTTCTGTAATAATTGATTGTAATAGTGTTATCATTTAATAGGGTAAGTATAATAGGTGTTTGTTAATATAATAGACATAAATAATATGAAAACCTTCTAGAGTTCCTCGTGACATTTTGATATGAAAGTAGAATATTTCAAAAATACTTTTTTCTTCCAGTTCACGTACTACAGTAGTACGGTATCATGTCATCTAAAAGAAAACACAGTTCTTCATGGGCACATTTCACTGAAGATACATCAGAGAGGAAGAGAGCAAAATGTAAGTACTGTTCGACGTTCATCAGTATTGCAGGAGGGTCGTTTGGAAACTTGAATCGGCATATGAAAACGAAACATCCTCTGATTCCACTGACTATCGAAAGGCAATCACCGGTGGATGTACCTGATTCGAATTCACCCCAATCGAATAGAATTTCGAAATCTCCATCGGAAGCATCACTACCTGCTGCACTTCCTCAATCGTCAATTACACAATATATTCGCAAACCACCACCAATTCGAAGAGTTGAGAAAATTGATAGACAAGTGGTCAAAATGGTTGCTAAAGGTCATCATGCTCTTCGAATTGTTGATGAAATAGAAATGAGAACATTAATCGAGATGGTATCACATTGTCCAGGCTATCAACTTCCCTCGAGAAAAACGTTGTCAACGAATTTGATGGTCAATATTTATAACGAGGTGATGTTGGATGTGAAAAAAAAAATTCAAGATGCTCCTGCATTATCTCTCACTACTGATGGTTGGACCTCCAGTAATAATGAGAGCTATATTGCAGTAACAGCGCACTTCATAGATGCCGACACTAAACTCTGTTCAGCTTTGCTTACTTGTATAGCTTATAATGAAAGGCATACAAGCCAAAACTTATGTAAGTTTTTAAAAGATGTCATGGTAGAATGGAATATTTCTCATAAAGTTGCTGCTGTCGTTAGTGACAATGCCGCAAATATAATTAATGCTGTCAGAATTGGTGAATGGAGGTCAGTCGGATGTTTTGCTCACCTTTTAAATCTTGTTGTCCAAGACGCTATCAAAGACATTTCAGATGTTTTATCCCAAGTAAAAAGTGTAGTTGAGTATTTCAATCGCAGCACACAAGGGTTGAAAAAATTAACAGCGACACAACAGCAAATGAGTTTGCCTGTTCTAAAACTAAAGCAGGACGTACCAACTCGTTGGAATTCAACATACGACATGCTTGAGCGAATAGTGCAGGTAAAGGATGCTGTAATTGCAACCGTTGCACTTTTACGCTCTGATTTGAGCATAAAAGAAGATAGTTGGGAAATAATAGAAGGAGTTTTGCCTTTACTTAAACCATTTTATGAAGTCACCGTAGAAATAAGTGCTGAGAAAAATATCACCTTGTCGAAAGTAATTGTATTGAATAACTTAATTCAGAGTTTTCTACAAAAACATAGTTCTCAAAATGATAAAGTAGTAAGTGTACAGTCAGCTCTGAAAAGAGGAATGGAGAACCGCTTCAAAGATTTAGAGAACAATGTTCTGTACGCTGAATGTACAGTTCTGGATCCAAGATTTAAACAAAAAGGGTTCAGAAACCAGAGAGCTTATGACTCGATAATACATGGGCTCAGAAATAAAATTGGCAGGGTACAATTACCTCAAAGAGAAGACCATCAAGCCTCAACAAGTACTACAGCCCAAGACCCTACATCATCAAATTCAGCAGATACTACAGAAAAAATAAAGTTTAGTATTTGGGAGGAGTACGACGATGATATAAAAAAAACCATCAGACCAGATAACAAAACTGCGGCTGGTATTCGTGAACTAGATAAATACCTAAATGAAGAATACCTTGACAGAAAAAAAGATCCACTTCAGTGGTGGCAAGAGCGCCGCCACATATATCCTCATTTGTATGCATATGTTTTGAAAAGGTTTTGCATTGTTGCAACATCCGTTCCTTGTGAACGTGTGTTCTCTGCAACAGGACAAATTATTCGACAACGTAGAACATTATTGAAACCAAACAAAGTTTCAAAATTAATTTTTCTGCATCATAATATGTAGGTGAACATTTTCATATAAATTAGAAAGTACAGGGTCTCTATAAATGATCGTAGCATCGTATAGTGACCGTTGAACTAGTGCCTCTCTCCTCTTATGAAGATCGAACTATACATTGAAACGACCGATTCAATGCTCGTAAAAAACATAAGCAGAGAGCGGCACTATTTCAACAGTTATTACGATGCTACGATCATTTATAGAAACCCTGTACCAAAAAGCTATATCGATGATAGTGAATGATATAATATTCATCAGTGGTTTTGTTTTTTTTTTAAATAAATTTTTCTCTATCTTCGTGATCAGGGCACAAGCATAAAACTTTTTATTTTCTATTTTATCGATATATAGATATTTTTTTTTGTTAGTCAATGCCGAACGCTATTGTGATATAGGTAGCTACGTTCAAGACTGGTAGGTTTAAGATATATCTGAATGTTGTACGATCTCAAATGTTTTGTTTTTTATATTTTTTTCAAATATTTTAAACCAATAAAAATTTAAATAATATATAACTCTCGAGTCGTCATGAACCAAACTGTTAGGTACAGTAGCCTACAAAATAGCCATCATTTATCAATATTTAATCAATTTTTGACTTCCTTTCCCTTCCTATTCCTGATTTTCAAACACCGCAATCGTAAAACTAGCTATTGTACACTTGTACAGGGAACGCAAACCGTAGGTACAATATTTGCAGTTTGCACAATAATTTTCAATCCCCGATCCGGTAAAAATACGGTGTGGCTTGAGGCTGTGACAAACACGGGACACGGCAGCTAGACATTTCCGTTCTCGCTCCCGAGTCTGATCTATCTCTACTCTCTAGTATCTCTACGCTGCGGTCGTTACGTGTCTGCGCGGCGATCGGCGAACGAAACGAACTAATGAACTAGAAGAGTGAACTAGTTCGCCAATGGAGAACGAACTAAATTGAGCGATCTCTGAAGTGAACTAAAATGCCCAACACTATTTTGTGCTATTTCGAAATTTTCTGTAGGTAAAAAAAACACTGTTGCATTAGGGTTGTATCAATATTATCAGAAGAGATGAGATTTTTTTTGTATAATTATATTGATGTTCCTTTACCACATTAAATGCAAAATAATATTATAGGTAGGTGCTATAAATACCAGTTTCATAAAATGTTCTTTTTATTGGGAACTTATCCCATTCGGATGATGCACTCAAGAGATTTCTCAGAACCCTATGGTATTCCTTCAATGGCGTCCAATTCACATTCTGCTTTTTCGGCATACACCACTTGTCTAAAATAATGACCATGCTGCCATCCTCAAATTCTACTACTTGATATATGAATATGAATAAGTATGACCACCACACCACACCACATAGATAGCCGAATAACATGATAATGATGGCCTTCTATGTATTGTTATTTTGTTGTTATGGTCATCATGGCCGCAACGGCGAAGCGAAAGTGAACGGCTTGGCCACAGCCGGCTGTGGGTTGGCGCTGGCGGTCGACGTTCGCATGTCTGCGCAAGGTCCGTGCCTACCAATCAGATACAGTTCTCTACGCACTCTCCCGCTCTGATTTGAATTCGCATTCCGGAATAACAACGTTATAAGCTTCTTATGACGTGACATTCGGTCTCATATTTTTAATAGCTATAGGGAGAATACTTTGCACAGAAGGTATATAATTAACAATTATCTCAGAGACCATCGAAAACACACATCTCGCACAGATTAGAGGAAAAATTATTATGAAGCATAATATATGATGAGTGACATAATAATATATGTTATATAACATAACTACGAATGTTTTCATATAACAGAGATGGGAAACTTCTTGATTATGGATTTTCCTTGATGTAGATGACTCAATAAATGATGGTCATAATTAGTCATGAAAATGACCATCAGATGACGTCATAATGACGACATATCAAGGACGTCTATATAACGTCATATTAAGTACGTCAAAATGACGTCATTTTGAGGTCATATGACGTCAATGACCATGAATGACCATATATTGACGTACAAATGACGTCAGCTTGTTACCTGGGATGGCGCCCAAACGTTCGGCATTGTAAATAAGTCGAAATTTACTCGAATCCTCATACCTACCTTACTATAATTAGCAAAAATTATGAGAATAATACCTACCTAGGGTTTTATACAATAAATGTTTCATTATTTGTGTATCAATCTCAAATTCCAAATTCACGGTTTACATCATATTTGACCTATTATTCACTCAGTTTCATACATTTTATTCAGTGGTTGGTGTGTGGTGTGTTATTTTAGGTTTGTCATTTGATATATAACATCGTATTCTTGCATAGTTTTCTTTATTATATTTTATATCTGCTACGAAGCCAAGGATGGCTCGATGAGTTTTTTCCCACATACCATAATTTGATGTAAGTGCAAATATATAAGCGTAACATTTCTGTGTTACTGTGTTTCGGGCGGCCCTAGCGACAAAGGGGTTGGTGCGTTTACTGCGTTTGCTGTCTGTGTTGTTTGCTGGCAGTGTTGATGTTATTTCTTGCATTCTTGCGGCCATTGGCGTACCATTTCTTTTATTATTTATTCTCAGTGGTATAATAATACTTTGAAAATGTAGTCGGCAGATAGTTTTGATTTCTCAGGCGCATATGTAGTTGTCGATGATTTGAATACTAGCTCGGAAAAAACGAATAGTTCAACAAATCCGTTTAGATCAGATTTGAACATGAAAGACATTGAAAAGAAAATAATTCTGATTTTCAAAATTACCGTTTTCGTCCAAATAATATGCATACTCAATCAATTTTTTTTTCAATCAATTTATTTACCACAAAAATTCAATTAAACAGATACAAAATTTCTCGATACATTGATAAATAAATAACAAACGTCCAAAAAAAAGGTTGCCCTTGAACATGGACGTATAGTGTTAGCGTGAAAATTAATAATAAAATTACGAATAGGTATATATATAAATATAGAGTAGAGATAAAACAAAAAGTAGAACTAACTAATATTAATATCATCAACTCAGACGGAGAAGTACTTCAAACAGGATGTTTAGTTCTTATAACCAAAGTTTACGGGATATTATATAATATTCAAATTCAAAAAGGAAATGTTCGATTTCGATGGAATAACGTCATTTCACTGGGAGTTTTTCAGCTGCATGCGCACTCGTCCCCAGAGAACACGCCGCAGTCGGACGGTGCAATCGCTCTTATTGCAGCGGTGATTAAGACATGCTCAGGTTTTTTGTTTTTTTTTTACATTACATTTGTGGTTCAAATATTATATTCCTGCCTATCAATCAGCCTATGAACTTTTGTTCTAGGTATGGAATGAATCCATAATTTCAATTTTTTCTAGAACAGGTTGGTGGAATATATTATTATATGATGTAGTTCTTCGGGAATATCGATATATAGTACGGGGCAGAGATAGATAAAGGATCTTTGACTTTTTCGGGTGTTTACTTTAGGCATAACTGTGGTTTTACCTTTCAAGCGGGTATTATATTTATGGTTTATTTGATCTTGTTCTTTTTTTATGTTTATGATGATGGATTAGGAGTGTCTGGTAATACAGTTGTCGGATATCTAACGTTTTTGATTCTGAGAATAAGGTTTCAGTAGGGTATCTGTAATTTTTCTCAAAAATAATTTTCAAAATTCATTTTTGTGCTGTGTTCAATGCGCTCAGATGAATGTTATCTATTCCCCCCATACTTTGATGCCATATGTTAGATGAGTACTAATTTATCATATTTAAATGATCGCGTATCAGCACAGAATTTGCATAATGATAGACGTCCTCACGTCCATTTGGCAGACGATATAGATTTCCCAATTAGAAATCGTCTTGAAAGTCTACGACTTAGTTCACCTGTAAATAATCACCAAGCTCACCAAACTTCAACAAATCCACGTCATAACCAAACACAAATGACTTTCGAGAAGAGTGAATCGCAGCTTAGTCCTAACGAATTAGCTTCTTCATTTTTGACGGCGATGCAGACATTAGTGAATCATTTACAAACGACTGATTCGAAACCTCTTCATCTATCGTATAGTGGTGAAGATACGGAAGATCCAGTGGCGTTCATACAAAAGTTGAAAGAACATTTTTGTGACAAAAATATCCCCGAGTGTGAACAAGTGGACATTGCTATTCAACATTTACGAAGTAAAGCCGCAGAATGGTACCAGCCATACAAAAACCTAAAACTAAGTTGGAGTATGTTTGAATACAACATTTTGGAGAAATTCAACAATACTGCTGTTCTTTCCCAGCTGACAACTCAGCTATATGGGCAACGACAACCATTCAACGAAGATATCCTCGTATTCATAACTAGAAAAAGATGTCTCTATCAAAAATTGTGTCCTGGTGCTCCAGAATATGTCTTGGTTAATATTCTGCTTGAACAAATACATCCCCAAATCCGAAGCCATCTAAGAGGATTGACCATTGATACAGTGGAACAGCTAACTAGGGTTTCCATGGCCATAGAAAAGGACCAACGATCCAGTAATAATTTCAACCCATCTAGAAATGTTAATTCACAGATACATAATCCCAAGTCAGAGGATGTTGATGCAGAACAGTCATCCCAATACAGAGCTAGACGCCCCACAAATATGACAGAATCGAAGCCAAATATAAATACTAATGGCATAAAACCGAGGACTCCATGTAGATTCTGTTCTGCGTGGCATTTTCATAGCGAATAATCCATATAGGACTAATGTTCAGAGTTTTCAGTCTCGTTCTAATTCTAATTTGACTAATCAAAATCCGCAAGACCATAATTTTTCAAATCCAAACAGATTGTCGAGAGCTCCACATGCGTATTCTCAGGAAAACGAGGTTCAGGACAGGACGAATTAGGTGACCGACCTGTCCTGAATACTTTGTTCGCCGAATCCTCTAACTCTCTTCCTTATTTACAAGGAATATTCAGTAACAAAAAACTACAAGCTTTGATTGACACGGGGGCCACCACAAATTTAATACAA